CGGCGAGCGGCGTTAAAGGCGGCTCCCCGCGCCGCTCCCCTGTCCAGTCCAGCAGTGCGCAGGCGCGGAGGGCTCCCTTGTCAGTCGGCGCCGCGTGCGGGTGGCTTGCTCTGTGGCGGCGGCGGCTGGTCTTCGGCATCATGAGCGGCTTCAGCAGCGAGGAGCGCGCCGCGCCCTTCTCCCTCGAGTACCGAGTCTTCTTCAGTGAGTCCGGCGGCCCCGCGGTCCCTCCCCGCCCGCCCCTCCATTCATTCCCGGGCCTCGCCGCGCGTCCCGCCTGGGCGCCTGCGGCCCGCGCTCAGCCCCTCGTCCCGGGCGCGCGATGGGCTCCTCCGGCCGGTCCCTGGGGCCTGGGCCGACCCGGTCGTCCCATTTCACAGGTCCGGCCCGCGGGCGGGCCGGCAGGGGCTGGGTTGGACCCGAACCTGGGCCAGGCTAGTTTTGCAGGTGTTCGGCTGTGTGTGATGGGAAAAGGAAACCTCTGAGTCACCCTAGAAAGGTGCCTAGAGGTAAACGAATCCGTTTAAGAGGATTGTTCAATTTGGAAGAAAAGGAGGAGGGGTTGGGGGGGCGGGGGAGATCCCCCGGGACCTTCGTTCCTTCTGTAGCTCTGACTCTGGGCCCTGAGCGGGTTGAGTGCCGCCCCTGGCTGTACGGACGGGAGACTGAGGCCCGACCATCCCTGGGGGGCGGGGGGTGCTGGTAGCGCCCCTGCCTCTCCGCCTGCCGCCTGCTTTCCCACAGCGCTGATGCTGGGAGCCGCCTGTGAAACAGAAAGCCATTCCCTTCCAGGCAAGCGGGTGACGTCAGCCTGGCAAGAGAGTTAGAAAGAGCCGAGTTTTTCCCGGTGCGGGGTCTAGGCGTCCGGGGGGCACCTGCCCCAGCCCGCACCGAGCGGAGGAGGCTGCCGGCTGGCGTGCACTCGCGCTCCTCCCCGGCGCGCACCACCGATGCCCTGCGGGCGGAGGAAAGCCGCCTCGGCTTCATGGCTTCATCGTTACTCCCTGCCACCCGCCCCCCTAGCCATTAGGACTAGGTGATAGGAGGCGTTCAGAAATGTGTCACCGGGGGCACTTCTGTTTCAACTAATTTACAGTTTTATTTGGGAGGAAATGGGCAGGTGCACTCATTTCTGTGAGCTCTCCAGTGTGTGAAGGGCAGGAAAGAGTGGGTCCAAAGGGAACTAGTGGGAATACTGAAAGAAAGAAAGAAAGAAAGAAAGAAAGAAAGAAAGAAAGAAAGAAAGAAAGAAAGAAAGAACGGAGCTCCTATCAAAAAGTAGCCCGGGGTGGGAGGAAAAGGTAGGTGAACTCTCGAGTTTGCACATCTGGTTGAATATTAGACTACCGTGTAAAATTCAGGGAGGCTGCCACTCTCCACTTTTTTTAAATGTTGGAAATAGCAGCAAGGGCAGTGCAGGGACTTTCGATAAGTCACTGAACTATTTTTTTCCGGAGTTGCTGTTGGCACAGGAATTCCTCAGCAGGAGGGGTTTAGAGGGGCGACTGGTTTGAAGGACTGGGGATGGTTTGGGTGATATTCACGCTATATTTGCAGAACAAACACAGTTTTCAGATTGTGTATTGGTAGCAAATATTTGATAGACATGACGGAAGACCAAAGCCACTCCTTGACTTTGGCACTGGCTAAAGTAACTTTTTACCTGTTGGAACTCTCTGGAACTTAAGAATACCAATAATTAGATCCAATTATATCATTGTATAATTTTAAGTGGGGTTTTTTAAATCATAGATTTCTTGGACTCCTTCCTTAATAGAATATATATATTTTTTTATCCTCTGTAATGTTACATTTGCCAACCTCTTTAAAACTGAGAGTGGGTTGGACAGCAGTCTCAGGTGACTTTATGGGATTGGGAGTGGTCACTGTTGGTTTCTAAACCTGAAGGGATGCCATGTGGCCGACTTTTAAGTTTCCTGGAGAAAAATAGGGAAGTTTTTAAGTTACTTTTTGGATATGGTAGTTTGGTCTCTAGAATATAGAAATCACACATGAAAGTGTTGTCCAACTTG